TCTGGTCCTTGACTTGTTGGAGAAGAGTGCTGGGGAGGGACACGTCCACGGGGCCTGAGCTCTGAGGGACATGAGGGCTGGAAACTGAAATATGTCAACACAACCAACCACACTAACAAAACAACAAAAAGTACATGATCACAGCAACTACGTCAATAGATGCAGACAAAGCTTTTGACAAAACAGGACTATTTCTGTTTAAAAAAACAAACAGAACAAACCTAACCCTAAACACTAGAAAACATAGGAGTAAGTGAACCCTTCCTTCCTTCACACAGAACGTATCTAATCTCAAACCAAGTGCCAGCACCTTGTCTCCTGGGCAGAGGCCTTTCCAATGAGCAGAGGGGTGAAGCTACAATGTCCGTTATCACTGTTACTATTCAACACTACAAAATGCTAGCAGTAGCAATAAGACGAGAAAAAGAAATGGTGAGAATTGTGAGAATAAGCACAAAGAAAAAATTGATGGCTTTTTGCAAACGATATGAAGGTTTCCTTAGAGAACCCTAGAAGAGTCAACTAAAAAACTAACTGAAACAATTAACAACTTCAGCAAAGTTGCTAAATGTAAACTAAATGCACATAAATAATAAGAATTTCTGTTTACTATCCACAAAACTCAGCAGGAAAACACAGAAAGAGACATTCCATTTAAAATAACTACAGAATGTACAAAATAATTTGGGAAATTACCTACCAAGACATACCCAGGAACTACATGAATACAACTATAAAACACTATGAAGGTCTAAATAACTAGAGAAATATTAATTGTTCAAAGGGAGGTCAAGTCAGATAACACGACTAAAATTAATCTACTTATTTAACTGCAGCCCAATCCAACTGCCAAAGGACTGCTTTACAGAAGCAGAGGAATAAAAGGTCAAGAATCTCAAGGAAGATAATAGGAAAAAAAGGTGAGAAAGAAGGGGGCCTCCAGGTGCCAGGTCTCCAATTGTACTATAAGGTGGGAGTCATCAGATAACCTGGTGCTGGTTCAAAAACCACGAGGTCGACCAGTGAAACAGAGGGGTAAATGCACAAGCAAACAAAGTTACCAGGCCGGGGTTTGCCCATGGCCAGAGAAGGGCCTGAAGGCAGACCCTGGGATGCGGAAGCCAGTAAGGACTCAGGGCTCGGTGCCCTCTTGGGTTCTTCCTAGTGAGGTCAGGGAAGAGTGGCCAAGCGGAGGAAGGGAGGAGGATGTGCCGCCTGGGCCTGGAGTGTGGCCATTAAAAAGAGGTCAAGGAGGAGCGCTGGACAAGGGAGCGGGGTCAGTGAAGCGCCATGTTGTTTCGGGGCAGAGGCAAAGATCATTTTAAGTCCTCCCTTGATCTTAAAGAAAAATGCTTTAGCCTGGGCAGCTCTAAGTGTTCCTTCATCAGATTTGTTACACAATTTAAGTGTTTTATCTACCAATACCTTGTTGTAATTCTTAGGCAACGTGGCCAAGTCTTTTAATCACACGAAATTTAGAGTCCCAGGGGCTTTCATATCATGAGGCCTCTCAAATCCCTGGGGGGAAGGAGAACTTTGCTCATTCTTTAATATGGAATCCGATTTCTCCTGCAGATTCAGGGTCAAGCTTTCTTCTGAACGGAAGGCCCTGGAGCCTCTGGGAAGGTTTCTCTCTGTGGTCAGTGTCATGCCAGGGGTCACGCCAACCTACCCCAGGGCAAGGAAAGCCTCCGAGATAGAGCAGCCAGGCCAAGAGACCAGAGTACTCCAGAATGGAAGGCAAAGGGCGTGGTAAGGACCCAAGAAGTAGGAAAGATACTTTTGATGGAAGGGACCTTAGCCATTATGGAATTCAATCTCCTCACTTCACAGTGGAAGAAACTGTCCAAGGCCACCTGGCAAACTCTGCAAGCCCTGAGCAAGACCCTAAGGGCTCCAACTCCTGATCAGGCTCCTGTGTGCACCCCCCCGCCTTAGACTCGCGATGTGCGTGTGATCGCAGAAAACAGGCTGCACAACGTAGTTCTTATTCCAATGCCCCTGGCCTGGGCTCCTTCCCTCCTACTCGCCAGGTCAGTACTTCTCGTAACTGTGAAAAATCAGGGTCTGGAATTCTCAGGCTCTCCCTCCAGCCCGAGGCTCAGCTCATCCAAGCCAGGCAGGCTCTTCGAGGCCTTCTCGTCCGCCTACAGCCTGGACCTCGACGGTCATCGCGTCCGGCTCTCCCCAAACACAAAGAATCCCTTCCACCGCAGGTTTCCAGGAAGCAGCTGAAGCCCCAGCCGTCCCAGGCGATCCATCCCACCTTCAAGCCATTTTCCTTGTGAAAAGTTGTTTTCTTCTGAAATCAATTTATCACGTGCTTGCCTGCACCTGTCCCTGCCTTGTGGAGCAAGTTCCACCACTTTGGGCCATCTCAGGACCTCTCCGCCATGCCCTGCTTGCCCCAGAAATTCACTGCTAGGGAAATCTCATCCCCAGCACTTAGCTCACCTGGCATAGGGCTCCTGAGCAGAACGAGGCCAATCCCCGCCTCCTTCTGAGACTGAAAGCTATCCTGTCGCCCTAATGCCTTCTCTTCTAGAGGCTCCCCACTGCCAGCGGCTTTGGCCCATCTGTGAGGGGCCCCATGCTGTGCTGGCCATTGTGTCCCAGGTGTCCAGCAGCCTTATCGATACTCCCCCTGTACACAGCACTGCAGATGTCCCGTTGCTGCTCTCGAGGTGCAGACAGGGACAACACAAGCTTTCGGTGCTGTCGGGCCAAGCTCCTCCTGACCCAACGGGCCATCAGATCCCCCACCCTGCTCACTTTTCCCAACTTGTACTAGAGATGCTGAGCCTCCAGAACGTAGGGTCCTCTGCTCCCACCATTTCAATCCCTTGGGTTGGGCAGATGGCTGAACTCTCTGATCTGCCAGGCCTCCCTTCCACCCCCCAGAGGTGAGGGCCATCACAGGGACTCAGTGACTGACCTAGGGTCACAGTGGCGAGGCAGCCAATTAAACAAAGATCACAGAATGTCTGATTCAGTGACTCCTTTGGAAAGAGACAGCAGGGAGAACCGGCTGGGAAATGGGGCTGCAGGTAGCAGGAGGAAAAGAGAATAGGTTTGTTTGTTTGTTCGTTTTTTAAACAAACGACCATTAAAGCTTTATGCCCTTTCCCAGAATTCTAAAGCAATGAAATACTTTCCCTAACAGTCACCTTTCCTGAATCCATGCTGACAGAACTGACGTCACCTGACATGTCCAGGGCAGGATGGGACCAATCACCTTTCCTCCCGTCATACCGGTGGATGCCGGCCCAGAACACTCCCTGGTACCCTGCAGCTGCCCGGCACAGCAAGGTCCAGCTAAGGAGCCCACAGATGACGGGATCCCTAATTGCTTCTGTCTCTTAGCCACGCTCATCACCTGAATCCTTTCCTACTAACCTCATTTTTAGATCTTTACTTAGAAAACAAAACTTTAAAAAGTTACTTCCGTTTCTTGTGATCACAGGGTGCCAATCGCAGCAACCCCAAGGCCGCACAGGTAGGGACAGCATGGCGGTTCATTCTGAGGCGGCCTGGGGGAGACCCTGCCCCTCCGACTCTGGCGGCACCACAGCCCAGCTGGCCTCCAGGGAGCCCGAGCTCCTTACACCGCGACGCCACTAACGTCACGCGGTGGATTTTCCAGGCCTGCTTTAAGGAGGGAAGCACACCCACTTTACACATCACTTGCCCTTTCCTCCCCCCACAGAAACTGCATCAGGCCCCTGCTCGGCTGCTGTCAGGGACAGGCAACCAGCTATTTCTGAAAGTGGATGCCCTTCCAGATTACCCACTACAACGTCAGGAGGACCTCTAAGGAGGAGCGCCTGAGATCGCACTCAGTGAGTGCCAAGAGCTGCTCTATCTCCCTCGATTTACAGAAGAAATGAGGCCCAGACGGGTGATGTGACCCGGCCAACAAGACGCCGGAGCCTGGGCAGGCAGAGCTGAGACTCGATAGTGGGTGCTCAGGCTCCGGGCCCCGTGCTCTCTCCTCACATTGCCAGGCTCTCGGCGAAGGCAAGGCAACTCTTGTGCTGTTTTTTCTTCATCCTCTAAGAGAGCAGGCCGCAGCCGCGTTGGACTAGTCTGAAGCTGTGGCTGAAAACCAAACTCGGCTCAAGCAGTGTGCTTCCTCTCACTTTTTCGCCTTTGTAAAGGTCTCTCACCTTCGGGGAATGGACAGAAATTCAGGATTAGCTGGAAGAGGAGAGTGATGGGAAGTAAGCCAAGAGGCCAATTTGCTCATCCACTAATAACTCCACTGAGGGTCATGTCAGCACACGCTCTTGAAGTGAGCTCCCCAAAGGGGGCTGAGCCTGCAGGGCAGGGCTGTCTCTGCCCACAATCACAGACCAACTCTTTAAGGGAAGGTTAAGCAAACCTGGGGAATGAGCCAGCCTCAGTGGCACCTCCTGCATCGTTGCCTCTGAGCCCCGGCCTAGGCCAAGCGCCAGCTCCGACATCCCCCAGCTTCCTGGAAGTCTCCTTCCCGTCCCACTCCCACCCGACAGTCACATCAGGACACAGTCCAGGAGGATCCACGTGACATACAGAAGGAGCAGGGGGTGAGGGGTCTCCAGAGGTCAGGATGCTGGAAAGAAGGCTAATAATAGCAGTGGGCAGGCGCCAGCCCCTCCGGGCCACCGAGGCCGGCCTGCGCCAGATCTAGGTCCAGTATGTGCAATCCATGAACATATCCATTGTGCGTTTGGGTAAATGGAGTAACAAGAGAGTGGAACGCCTCGTAAATTACCCCACAGAACAATGCAGCTCCACAAATTAAGACCGGAATCGGAGAATCTAATAAACCACCAGCTTAGAGTTTTAATAACTCACTTGGTGGGGGGTGAGGACAAATGTTTGGAAGGAAAATCACCTTTATGCAAATTAATTATTTTTGCTTTATTGAAATAAGAAGTGCTAGTTGCAGTATTCCACATGGCGCGAATGCGTCAGGCTGCACAACACCGCGCTCTCAGACCAGACCCTTAAAGCCTTACCTCTCTGAACTGGTGGTAGAGGCGATCACACTGGTGAGCTCCGATGGTGGTCTCCGGGAGGTAGACCGGAATGGTTGTGTAATTCACTACTTCGTACTTATTCTGGACCCTGAACAGAAAGAGAAAACGTGCAGATCACAGCCCCGACCTCCGGACCCCGACCCAGAAGTGGCGCCCCTCACCCGCCCCCCTCACAGCCCTGCCTCGGGGAAGCTGGCGCTGGGCCCCGGTGCCCAGGACGTGAATGACTGACCTACAACGTCTTCCCTGCCAACGCCCTCCCGAAGGCTGGAATCCTGGAAATGACAGGGCCCAACCTCCCTGCCGAGGCCAGACTGCTAGGCACGGAGATCTCCTTACCTCACGATGCATTCTGTCTCCTAAGCCTCCCGAAAGGCTGCTTCCCTGGGGTACTGATAGTGCTCAGTGGAGTCACCCAATCATCCCCGGTGGTTCCCTATCACCCCCAGGATCCAGAAATGCTTGGCTCAGCATTCAAAGCCCTTCCTAACACGGCCCCCTTCTGCCTCTCTGGTCTTCCCACACCTCGCTCCCCAGAACCCTCAGACTCCTGGCTGTTCCTCCCACATGACCCTCCTTCCATCTCTTGGCCCTGGGCATCCTCTCTGGCCATCCCCAGGCCTTCCACTGGAAGACCTTCCCAATGCCCCTGAATGCTGGTGCCTTCTCTCTCCTGCCCATCCCTAATTTACTTCCCTAAGAGCAGGAACTGCCTTTGCCTTTCTTCATAGCCCCAGTTCCCAGCAATGCTGGCACACAGCAGGTGCACTGCCTTGACCAAGAAGAAGTCAGATCCCTCCAAATATCCCTATCACCCAGCCCCTGCAGCCTCTCAAAGGCTTCTGCTCAATGAGCCAATGTTTCAAGGCCCCTCACGATGCTGATGACTGGGATGTCTCTGGGCTCATTCCTGCTCATCAGTGGCCCTCACGAAACATGGCCCCAGATGAACCCCGAGCACAACACTCCAGTGTAGACTTGAGCTTGACCCACTGGCTCTGCTTCTATCCCAACAACAGCAGCCACCACCCAGGGAAGAACCGCTAGTCCGGCCAGCCACACTGAAGGAGGGGGCAAGTCACACCACTGCCGCCACCCCAACCACCCTGCAGCCACGGTCCAGGGGAGCCACCCTTACTGAGACGTGACTCCATACGCGCACTGCCACTGAAGACCCAAGTCCTGGACGCCCACAAAAGGCTCAGCATCCAGACGGGACGGGGCTTTGGCCAGTGCCGCTCCCATCGGAGACGACGAAGGACGATGAGGCCTTTCCACATGCCTGTGAGGTCCTATCCCCGCCAGAGTGTGAGGTCCCGGAGAGCAGAGACCACCCCAGCGCTCAGAACCCAGCAGGGGCTTCGTCAGTGCTTTTCCCTGCATACACTCACTCCCTAACACTTGTTTCTACAAACTTCTGGGCAGTCGCTTCATTTTTTTTTGACACCAACTACTTACTGCCTTAACAAGGTAACACCCCACTATCCTGAACCTCAATTTTCATGGGCAAGGACTTCAAAAACTTTGAACCCGCACCACGCCCTCTCCAATTCAGGCTCTGAGGCGTCTCGGGGGTCTGCCTGCCCACCCATTCACCAGTCAGGCTGCCTTCCCACGCAAGCTCACGGATCCTCTTTGGATGGAACAGGTGCTGAAGGAATGGCTGATGAACACAGGATGGGAGAACAGAGGGGCACGGGCTCCCTCTGAGAGGGCTGCCCCCAATGCTCACCATGGGTACAAGGCTACACGCATGCCCGGCATACCAGACTCCCTCCCTCCCTACCCAATATACCCGGCTCTCCCCAAGGGAAGGCCCTCACCCCTCCTTCCTGGCCCCATCGTCCCCTCGGGCATCCTTCTTTCAGTTCGAGATGAAGTATCAAAAGACCCTTTTGGCGGCCATTAGCACCCTTCAGGGGCCTGAGTCTTCCCAGCCCTCATTCCGGGCCCGGGACACTCGCTGGAATTTAACCCTGCCGAGGTGAACGGCCAGTGTGCTAAAACTCCAAAGACAGGCCTGTGAGTCCCTTTAAAGACAGCCGCTTTTCTTCCTCGTCAGGAGAATCTGTGGCTCTCTCACCAAGAAGTTTTGGGACCTTTCCCTGAAATGGTGGCACCGAATAGAGGAGACGCCAGACTTGGTTTCCTTCAGATCGAGGCTCCACTTCCGTCGTGTGACTCTGGGCCCGCCCTGGGCCTCCCTCTTCTCTGCAGAATGCCCCCAGAGCTGTCCCAGGGACCCTCACAAGGAGGGTTCAAATTAGAAAGCAGATATGACAGTGTCCAATTACCATAAGGATGGATCCCTGAGAAGCTGAGAGCAGGCCCAGCTGCGCACGTGTGTGACACCTGCCTTCCCTGTCTGGCACCACCTGCTCACACAAGCCACACTTCTGCTTGAGCCTCACACCCCAAAGTGACCCGGTCAGGTCCTTGCTAGCCCTCGTCGTGCTGGGAGAGGACGCCGTCAACAAGACGATCCAGCGCCTGGCGCGGCTCTACACTGAGCAGCCACACAGAGAGGCCACGGCTTCCATCGCTAGCGGACATCACTGTGGCCATCTGGCCCTGGGGCCAGGGAAGCAACTACAGAAGTGAGGGCTCGACCCATCAGCCGCACCCTCCAAAGACCCTGGCATCCTCGGAGAGCCGCGGGACTCTCATCAGGGCCTCAGCCCGGAGGCGAGCCCACGAGCATGCGCATGGACGAGCTGCTCCAGGCCTCCTCGTGAACCAGCGGGCACAAACACAGGGCTCTGCTCCCAGAATTCCCAGCAGGTTTGGCGTTGCCTCTGCAGCGAAGCCTACCGAGACCCCAGCTTCCTAAGTCGGGAGGACGGGTGCAGGTGGGGATGGCAGCCTTCACGGCACTGCCTACAGAGGGAACGGGCTGGCCCCCTCGTGGTCCTGGTACGGGGGTCGCTCCTCTATCATGCCCTAGATCAGGAGATGCACAGAGGCTACAGATTCTGGGGAGGGAAGCCCCTCGGGTCAGTCACAAGCGTCCTCGTCTCAGTGCAGACGGACGGCACTGTGGCATCCCTGCCTGTGGTCAGGAAGAGCACTAGGGTTTGGGGTTTGCCCACGTGGCAGAGGAAAGCAGACAGGGACAGAGTCTCAAGCTTGCCTTACACGTCAGACAGGCCCAAAGAAGAACCTCCCCAGCTTAAAAAGAACAAGCAGAAAAAGTGACCGAGGGGCAACTGGCAGGGAGGTCAGGACATTTATCCACAAGCATCGACTACAGGAACGATGCTGAGCAGCAGTGAGCTGGGCGAGTTGGGCCACGGAGGCTCCTGCTAACAGCCACACCTACTCTGAGCCCGAGTCCAGCCAACGAGCATGTGCCGGCTGGCATCGGGCTAACCAGCAGAAAGCAAGCCGGTCCTGGCCCTCGAGACTCCCGCACACACAAAGGACAAAGGTGGAAAGAAGCGTGGGGGCAGCTGGGCCTTGGGGAGCTGACCCATGCCAGGAAGAGGATGAAGAGGCCGTGGGCTGAGGGTGAACACAGAAATCCAGGTACAGTCTGAGGACCGTGAGGAAACGAGATGCCCCAGGTGGGCTAGCCCCACCCCAAACCAGAGCTCTGTGACCCCAGCCCTCTGAAGGCTCGACTCCCCCTGCTCCAACCCCGGGGCAGCCCTCCCCTGTGGTCTCTACATTGAAATAAGCCTGACGGAAAGTGGCCTCAGGTGGGCCCCGTCTCCTCATGCCGGGGCTGCGTCTCTTGTCCCCCAATCTGTCCTCTGCACAGACACCAAAGGGGTCTCCTTAAGTGGCGATCTGACCGTGTCACCCCCCATCATCTCCAGGATCAAATACAAACTCTTTGGTTTGGCTTTTAAAGCTCTTCTCCAGCTGGCCCCAACCTCTCTTCCCAGGCTCATTTTACAGTACTCCCCCCTAGTACGGCCATGGAGAGAGCGCCGGGCCTGGAGCCTCAGGTAATGTTTGCAAAACCTTAGCACAGCACCCAGCACATAGTAGGTACCATATAAATGCTTACGCCCTTCCTTTCCCAAACTTCACAGTCTAGCCACAGTAGGCTTCTGTTTCCTTCCCCAGCAGCTTCTGCCTCTCTGTTGGCCACACACCGCAGTTCCAGCAGGCCTCCACTCCCTTCAGGATTCGGCTTGAGCAGCGGCCTAGACCCTCTCCCGAGCCCCCACAGTCACTCCACACGTGCTCATCAATCAAACATGGTGCCTCCCTGTCTCGGGACAGGCACCACTTGGCTTTTGTTTGTCTTCCTATGCCCCAATGGGGAGGCTACGTGGCTCAGTGGATAGAGCCGGGCCGAGAGTCAGGAAGACGAGTTCAATCCAGCCTCCGATGCTTACTAGCAGTGTGACCCTGGGCAAGTCACTTCACCTCCATTTTCCTTAAGCCACTCCTGAATCTTTGCCAAGAAAACCCCACAGACAATAACGGCAGGTGACAGTCCCCATGGTCACGAAGAGCCAGCCATGACTAAATGACTGCAAAGCAACAAAGATGCCCCATACCTAGCCCAGAGCTTGGTATGGAGTAGGAACCAAACAATTGCTTGTTAGCGGATCAACTTCTAAAGATTTGGGGGGAAAATATAACAATTACAGGATTTTCCCCCCTTTTCCTAGGAGTTCAAAGCCAAGGAAATACCCCAGATCAGGGCCCAGAAAGAGAATGGGTATAATTCTTCACTACATGCCTGCATCTGAGCCCCAGGCAGGTTTTACAAGGAGTGGCAGAGGTGGTCTAGCCCTGCCCCCCCCCCCCACTCCTTCTCTTCCTCCTCTCCTCTCCTTGAGCATACCATCTTTCCACTGGTCCCCTCTTCCCTGGGGGGCTTTGCAGAAAGGGCAGTTTTCCAAACCCTCAGGTAAGAAGGCAGGCCTGGGAGGCCTGGTGGTGACAGAAAGCTAATGTTCCCTTTCTGGGAATCATTCCCCTCATACTGAAGAGGCTCGTCACACAACACCAGCCCTCGCAAAGACTCTGCCTGGGCGATTTAAAGGGGGGCACCACGGCGATCTGCACTGAAAATGCAGGCCCCATCTCCATCATTCAACAAGTAAGCCCAAGAAACGCCTAGAAAATGTG